TTATTCAGTAGGGTGTTGCAGGCTAGGAATGGATGAATCATATTTGTTTCACGTTCTCTCACATTCCGTAATTCTGTTCTTACAAAAATAAATAAATAAATAGCCAATCACACTCTCAACCCTCTTTACTGCCTAAATTCAACAGCTATTCCAATTATGAACAAGATTATGTTGTACCTGCCTGCCATACACAATGATGAGTAGGCACAAACATAGAAGTGGAAAACCTGTTTCAGCACCACAATCATAGTGTAGCAGGTTTCTACTACAAGGTGGTTTTTAACAAAAAGATTTAAGGTGACCTGAAATCCCTGTGTTTATTGGCATTTTGAGACTTTTTGTTGTTGCTGGGTGCATTCAAGCAGTTTCCGACTTATGGCAACCCTAATTTGAACCTATCATGGGGTTGTTGGGGTTTTTTTTGTTGTTTTTTTTTTTGCAAAATTTGTTCAGAGGAGGTTTGACACTGCCTTCTCCTGAGGCTGAGTGTGAGTTTCATGGTCAAATTGGGAATTGAACCCTTGTCTCCAGAGAGACTAGTTTTATCCTGGGTTTCTCCCTGGTATGAGATGCCATGGATTTAACAGGAGGGATGCTTTGGTTTACAAATCCTGCAGTCCACCACTAAGTTCAGCTCCCTTCTAATTTTCCACCCAAAGTACACCAAGAAAATGGAAGATTGCACAATCCACAGATAGCAATCTGTTCCTTCCTCGTCTTTATTTATTCCCAAAGACACACTTACAGGCTACCCTTTTTATTTATTGCTTGATTAGCACCAGTGCTTACAGTCTCAACATTTCTGGGCTGTTTTATAGCATTCATTAGCAATGGCCAGAGCAGGCAATGTGACACTTCTCACAGGCATTACGCACAACCTGACCTTGTAAAGCAACCCAGCAAATTGGAAATGAAAATGTTTACCAGCTTGTGTAAAACAATATCTCACCAGATGCAATCGTCTGCCAAGGAAGCATCCACGTAACTCTCCCAATTTCTCCTCTGTACTTTCTGATCATCATTATTCCATCACCGCATGACCAGATCCTTGCCCTCCTCCTTAGAATACTTCTTCACACACTTACTATATCCAACCTTTCTTGTTTACTTGTTCAGGTATTTCTACTTTCTACCTAGATCCACCTTTCCACACATTTTCCACAATCTCTGGGTTATCACAAGCTGGGAATTACTTGAAGGTATGCAATGACAAGAGATATTTGAATTACCAGTCTAGTGCCTCACCAAACTATAAATCCCAGGACTCCATAGGATACAGCCATGGCAGTTAAAGTGGAATCATAGCACTATAATTATGTAGTGTGAATGGACCCGTTGACAGTGGCCTAACCCATTTTCTCCCCAAATAACTTTCCCTCCACTTCTACTCTTTCTCACTTTGTTGTTAACTGTCTTCAAGGAGACTTCAACTTCTGGCGATTTTATGAATGAGAGACCTCCTAGGCTGCATCTGCACTGCAGAAATAATCCAGTTTGACACCACTTTAACTGTCATGGCTCAATGCTATGGAATTCTAGGAACTGTAGTTTGTTGTGGCACTAGAGCTCTCTCTCTATATATTCTGCTTTTTAATATTTATATTTCCCCCTTTTAAAATACATGCCCAGATTAATATAATTTGGGAAATCATAGAAAATTATATTTTCATTTGTCTAGACAAATATCCTACAGCATCTGACAGATAAGGCTCAAAGTCTCACAAAACTGCAAATCCCAGAATTCCGTAGCACTGACCCATGGCAATTAAAGTGGTGTCAAACTGGGTTGTTTCTGCAGTGTGGATGCAGCTCCAATCCCCCTATCATCAACAACCCTTCTCAGATCTTTCTTACTAGTCTGCTATAAAAAGCACATGGGAAAAGAGAAACAAACGCCAGAGAGGCAGGGGGAGATTAACGCTAGCATTGATTCCCCGCACTTGTACTTTTGCACTTGATACTGTGTTGTTGTGTAACCGTCATTGGATTTACATTTTGCACCACGGCACAAGGATTGATCTCCAAGTACCACTTGATGGAAATGATAATGGCATGACCAACAGTGATCGCTAAGGCAACTTCAAACTCTTGTACATGCACCCTCTCCCCTCAAATTGATACTTCTGCAGGATTGCTTTCTCGATTGTTTCCCCCAGCATAGCGATCAATGCAAAATTACTACTACCAAGAGTAGGGCAATCCAAGCAACAGAGTGGCTATTTCCACGCTCCTGATCAGTGAGACACACAGTTACCTGAATAAAACTGGGAATATACTTCATACATTTAAACCCCCAAACATGTGCATCAGTACAGTATACAATATATTCAGGGAAACAGTCTTTCTCTTGAACCTTTCCTTAGCTCAGTATGAAACCAGGCTATGAAAACCAGAAAACAGCTGGCTTATTTTTCCTCCAAGTCATGTTCCAACATTCAGAGGTCCATTGTGATCCCAGTGGCATCTAAATGGGAATGTGTTGGAATCCAAATGTCTGCCCACAAGACATAAACAGACCATCCCAGCCACATGGTGCCAAGAGAACTATAATTTCCAGGGAAATTATATGTTTACATCACAAAGAAATGACCAAGCAGAAGGCTCAAACAAAGACAGAGGAAGCTGTCTTCTAATTCCAAAACTCAGATGCTTATCACGCTCCTGATAATATCTCAAGAGGTTTATCCCACTTGCTAAAATTATAATATCTCATGATCAAGGAATTCTGCTTTATGGTGACCTTAAGGCAGGATGGCCAGGCATCCTCCTTTTCCAGGACATTTCAACCTTCTGTTCAGGAAGAATTCCAAAATGTCCTCCATTCTGAACATGATTCAGAAGCCCATTGAGTAGCACCATGTTTGCTGTTCCCATTCAAGATATAAATCTACTCGGCAGTCTGTACTTGCTCCAAATAATTGATTAGGATGAATCCTTCTAAAGATCTTTTTTTCCAAGAGCAGCAGAAGATAAGACTTGCCCCCCTAAGCTTGGGGTGTATTTGTTCCTTGGGGTAGAAGAGGATAGGAAACATGTTAGGCAATGGGTGCTGGAGGACAAAATGAAAATGTTGAAAGGACTTTCCCCCCTTAATTTCAGCAAAATAGACAAATGAAAGGAATGATATGAATATAGAGTCAGTCAATGTTTGTTTGTTTTTTGCTTTGTTATTGTTGTGTGCCTTCAAATCATTTCCGACTTATGGAGACCCTAAAGCGAACCTATCATTGAGTTTTCTTGGCAAGATTTGTATAGAGGAAGTTTGTCATTGCCTTCCCCTGAGGCTAAGAAAGTGTGACTTGCCAAATGTGGGTGTCATGGCCGAGCTGCAAATCAAACTCAGGTCTCCAGGGTCATCGTTCAACACTCAAATCATGTTGGATCACAGTTTGTTGTTAGTAAAGTACAATTTTAAGCATTTGTCTTCCTCAGAGATCTAGCAATATATTGCAAACCAACAAGAAATTTTAACCAAGAAAAATACAATTGAGTACATCATAAAACACAGTATATTAAACGTAGCTGTAAATAAACCGCATGAAATGAATTTATATTGATATGAATGTTTTTAGCTTTTATTTTGCAATGACATACATTTTTCTTGAATGTCCTACATTTCATGGTGTCTTGTCCTCCTTTATGGTTATGATGTCTAGTTACCCTGCCCTCAAGTGAACCTATCACGGGGTTTTCTTGGAAATTTTTTTTGGGGGAGGTGCCTTTGTCTTCCTGTGAGGGAAAGAGAGAGTGTGACTTTCTCAAGGTCACCCAATGGGTTTCCATGGCTGAGCAGGGATTCGAACCCTGGTCTCCCAGTGTCCTAGTCCAACACTCAAACCACTATACCATCCTGGCTCTCAGTTATAGGTATACCTCCCACCAAACCCCCAGTTTCCAAAACAAGCCAGAGCAGAATTATCTAGAAAATGGTTCTCATTTTGTAATGCACATGCACACACAAAACGTTTTCATGAAATTTGTGATGACATCCCTATTTTCTGCATGAATGGTTGCTCTGGGATGAAACTATCCAGCACAATCCTCAATTATTCTGTCTTTCTTATTAATTTTACTGAGACTTAAAGGTTACGCCCTTTCTCAGCCCCAAGGGACCCTCACACAGTGACATATAATAACAGGAAAATAAACACAAGACACCATGAGAGTATCAATTTACAAGAGGAAGAAAAAGAAAGAAAAAGCAAACCACAGAAATAGTCTGTTCTGTATTGAAACTAGTCACAGAAAGCTGAGCAAAATACAAACGCCTTCCCAGGCCCTCTTCAAAGAAGCAAAACACAGTGGAATTCACTGTGGCTGCTGCCACACTGCAGAATTAATGCAGTTTGACACCCTTTTAACTGTCATTGCTCACTGCTATGGAATCCAGGGATTTGTAGTTTGTAGTGGTACCAGAGTGCTCTGACAGGGAAGACTAAATATTGCACAAAACTACAAATCTAAGAATTCCAAAGCATTGACTTCCGGTGGAGAATGGCAGCGTGCTGGTCATAGTCCCTGAGTGCTCCAAGAATGCGACCACTTGTTGCAGGGATGACTTCAGCCGCAGAGATTTTCTGGCTCATATAAAGGATCCCCCTGATAAAGGGGAAGCGGAGGGGCTCCCTGTGTTCCCTGATCCTTCCAGCGAGACCCCCAAAAGAAGATTGTGAGGGGGTCAGGAGCAGGGAAGGTCGAAACAGAGAAGAGAGGACAAGAGCAAGCCCTGTCCACGACAAGTAGCTTCTTAAGCAGCAAAGCACCGTCACCACTTTTACTCTTTTTTTAAAAAGGTAAATCCTTCCAAGATAACAAAAAACAATCTGTTGGTTGAACCTGTTTTCTCAGCTAATGGGCACATCTATTCTGATCTACTATTAAGAAAAGCCCTGGCTGGGTAGAACTGTGAGCATGGTGTGCAACAGAGGATAGAGAGAGAGGGAGAGACTGAGAGTTAATGCTTTGGAGTTTGGAGTTTTGGAAGGAATTTAAGAAAGGAGCAGAGAAAATCAATGAAAGTGGTGAGAAATGAGATGTGAGATCATAAGAGACTGAAAGAGAAAGAGTGGAAGTTTGAAGCCAAACTTGACAGAGGTCAGGACCGAGCGATTTGGGTAAGTGGCGGAGATTAGAATAAGGAGAAGATAGAAGAGAAGATGGTGAGTGTGTACTGAAGAGAGAAGGAGAAGGAGACGTGAAATCAAGGTGGGAGAGTGGAATAATTAATGGGATCATGGAACTTGGTGTTGCATAAGGAGTGACTATTTCTTTCTCCTTTTCCCTTTTTGTTGCTATTGTGGTCTTGCGGTACTGTGGTGGTCTTGCAGAAACTGAACTTCGAAAAGGAAACTGTAAAAAAAAACTTGAACAGATGTGTTTGTGAAGAAAGTTATTATAAGGGACACTAAGAAAGGTCCAACAATTTAAAACAACTCAAAGGTATACTTTCTTGCTATATTTAGAGCAGGGATAGGCAACCTTCTTGAGCCGGGGGCCGGATTGCTGTCCCTCAGACAATTGGGGGGCCAAAGCACCAAAAATAAATAAATAAATAAATATAAAAATTAAAAAATAATAAAAAATTAAAAAAATTTAAAAATATGCATGCACACTCTCTCAGCCCCAGAAAAGCCATGGCAAAACCCCTGTGGAGATTTTGCCAAGAAAACCCCAAGAACAAGTAGTAACAACAATAATCATCATCATCATGGTGGCAGTGGCGGCGGCAGGACCAGCCTGGGGCCGGTCCAAAGGCCTCAGGGGGCCGCATCCGGCCCCCGGGCCTTAGGTTGCCTACCCCTGATTTAGAGGATAGAAAATTGGATACACGGAGTTGGACTTTGACTTTTGACTTTGACTTGGATCTAAATTTAATATTATATAAAATTAGGAGGGCCAGGAGGTGAAGAGACTGAGATAGAAAAGAACAGAAGCCCAGATAGAAGATTGAGGAAGATTGGAGACTGAGACTGATATTCAAGTATCTTCTTTATATATTTGTTACATTGTATCACTCTTTTTTGTGGATGGACGGATAGATAACCTTGATAAACTGATTATTAGAAAAAATTAGAAATTAAGAATTAAGACTGAAAGTTCAATTTTGTGAATTGATTGTTTGGGGGGAACTGGAGGGATTTCAAGGAAATTAAATATCATTGAGTGCTGTTTATTTACTGAATAATTAATCGAGGGGCCCAAATTGATATCTTAGTTAATTAAATTGTATATTTAATTGTATAAGATGTATTTTTTTCATAAATGGGAAATATATGAATTGGGAACTTGATAAGGGGAGGGTCATAAATCATAAAGTGAATTATTTGTATATCAATTATTTATAATAATTGAATTGTTTAAAACTGAATTGTTTAGATTGATGTGTAATATTTGGGAAATACATATTTGTAGAGTTGGGCATTAATTGGAAATACTTGATACTTTATCATATAAACTGACTGATTATAAATTTTTATATTTATAAAAACTTAAGAAGAAAATCAATTGGGGAACATTTGATTGTAAGGCTTAGAATTAATTGGGGATACTTGGTTTTAGGAGATTGTAAGAATTATAAAGAATAAGGAAAAGTAGGAATATAGTATTAATAGTGATTGTGAAGAATAGTGAGGGAATTAATATTTGAGAGAAATTTATTTTTGAGGAAAGCTGTAGTCCTCTTTCAGGTACTAATTAAGACTTAGTATGG